TGTGTGTGTGTGTGTGTGTGTGTGTGTGTGTGTGTGTGTGTCGTGTGTCCGTGCGCCTGTGCGTGCGCGCGCGCGCGCGCGTGTGTGTGTGTGTGTGTGTGTGTGTGTGTGTGTGTGTATATGTGTGTGTGTGTGTGTGTCCGTGCGCCTGTGCGTGCGCGTGTGTGTGCGCATTTCGGTTATCGCGCAATCGCGTAAATCCACCGTACAGTCCATCCATCGGCGTGACGTCGCCAAATTACAGAGTAATGCGATTAGAGCGCGAAGCACTTTAGCCTGTTGCATTTAATTCTTCAGCAGCAGCTCTGGCAGTAAACCCGGAATAACAACATCTCTCTATCCCCGCCTAATTATGCTACTGCCAGCGTCCGTCCGTCCGTCTGTCAGTCTTTCTATATGGCGGTCTATGTGTATATGGATAGTTACATAAATAAATAAATAAAAATAAATTTTCCCCCCCCACACACACACACCGCATCAGGAGCGACTTCTGAGCCAAAAAAAAACTTCGATGACAAAAATCCAAAAACCAGGCAATATAATCGACGTTGGTAAAACTCGAAAACAAGACCTGTTCATATACCAAACCACACAAAACCAGTCGATATATAATCGACGTTGGGAAAACTCGAAAACAAAATGGCGTCGGCGCGCCAACATGCCCGACACCTCTCGTGATCCGTTTAACATCGCGTCGGCCGACAATCTGTTTTGTTTGGAAACCGATCGCCCGCCAAAGGTAGATTCCAGCGCCGCCGCCGTCGGTTGTTTCAATACGGGCGCATACTGTCGGCATGTTTGCAACTATACTTTGTTGACACGGTGAGCAGCGATCGATGGATGGAGAGTGCTCTAGCAGCGATGATGTATATCTATCTATCTGCTGTCTCTCTTTCTCTCAGGCTCGCGCGATACGCGGGTTATCAGAGGCAGCAAGTCATTCGTCTTCTGTTCCGCGTCCCGATGAGTCGCATGGACGCACTCTTAATCACACGCACGCACGCACAGACGCGCACGCACGCACAGACGCGCACGCACGCACAGACGCGCACGCACGCACAGGCGCGCACGCACGCACAGACGCGCACGCACGCACAGGCGCGCACGCACGCACAGACGCGCACGCTCGCACGCACGCAATCGCATACCCACACACGTTCACGAGCACGCTTACACACACACGCGCGCGCGCGCACGTACGCACGCACGCACACACACACACACACACACACACACACACACACACACACACACACACACACACACACACACACACACACACACACACACACACACACACACACACACACACACACACAC